GCACAGCTGACAAATGATCATCAGTGAGAGAGGATCTATACCTGGATTTTGTAAACTTCAATCATTGAAAGTGGTTGTTCACAAATGTAGGTAGAGCCGAAGAGAACCAACATCTTCTGAGCATGTCTCCTCAGGTTTGGGAAGTTTTTTTTTTTTTTTTTTTTTTTTTATCTTTTATTTCATTCACAATGTATAAAATAAACACAAATACAGGATACATTAACATATTGAAAAAAAAACATTTGAATGAAAAGGAGCAGACAGAAGAAAAAAATCTTATGATTTCTGCCCCTTTTTACGAAATAAAATTATCCGCCAAACAAACACAATATAACCTCGGTCACTTTATAATATTTTCACGTCTAATCTTTGACATTATAATTATTCTTTTCATAATTACTAAATACATTAGATTTTATACATTTTTTAAATATTGCAAGTGTAGTTGATTCTTTAAATTCCTTGTTAATGGCGTTCCACAATCTTACACCATTTACAGAAATGTTACATTCCCTCACTTTGGTTCTGAATCTGGTTTCTCAAAGACATCAGTTCCTTTTAACATGTACCCACTTACTCTCTTATGAAACATTTTCTGAATATTAGTTGGTAGATTACTTGTATTCGCTCTGTACATTATTTGCAATATTTTCCACTCTACCAAGTCAGGAAATTTCAGTATTTTGTATCTAATGAATAAATGATTAGTGTGATCTCTATAGTTACTGTTATTAATGATTTTCAATGCTCTTTTTTGCAAAATGAACAATGGTTGTGTAAAAGTTTTGCAAGTGGCTCCCCAAATTTCTAAACAATAAAATAAATATGGTTCAATCAGTGAGTGATACAATGTTAACAACCCCGACAAATTTAGTAGAAACTTGACTCTATATAATACCCCTATGGCTTTGGCAATTTTCCCCTTTATATAACCTACATGTGATTTCCACGTGAGACTCTCATCGAACATGACTCCAAGAAATTTGGTTTCTTTTACCCTTTGAATTTCCATTCCATCTATCATTAAAGATACATCACAGCTTCTTTTGTTATTAAACAGTATATAGTTTGTTTTGTTCAGGTTCAGTGATGGTTTATTTATATCAAACCATTTTTTAACTTTAATCAATTCACTGTTTATCACTTGAGTTACTTCATGTATATTTAATCCTGAATAAAACAATGTAGTATCATCCGCAAATAAAACTGTGCCAAGTAAATTCGACACATTTACCAGGTCATTAATAAACAATATGAACAGTTTAGGTCCGAGGACTGACCCTTGTGGCACACCATAATAAATATCTTTTAATTCAGATTTAGCATTATTTATTTGAACAAACTGTTTTCTATTGCGTAAATAACTATTAACCCATTGATGCGCCACCCCTCTAATTCCATACCGGTGTAATTTAAGAAGTAACCTTGAATGATCAATGACATCAAATGCCTTTTTTAAGTCAATAAAAACACTAATGAAATGGTTTTTATTGTCAATTGCTGATGAAATTTTATCTACTAAATCCATAACTGCCATTGCTGTTGAATGTTTGGTCCTAAAGCCATACTGTTCATGATTTAAAATTGAATTTTCGTCAATGAATTTGTCCAACCTTAATGCAAACACTTTTTATAATATTTTGGAAAACTGTGGAAGCAGTGACACTGGCCTGTAATTAGTGAAACTCTGTTTATCACCGCTCTTAAATAATGGAGCCACCTTGGCAATTTTCATTAAATCAGGGAAGACTCCTGTAGATAGTGACAGATTACAGATGTAAGTGAATGGCTCAATAACAGATTCAATTATAGCTTTTACAGTCACCATGTCCAGATCATCACAATCAGTCGATCTTTTGCTTCCCCAGTTTTTTACAATGTTTCTTATTTCCTGTTGATCTACTTTGTCAAGCAGAATACTATTGACATTTCTAGGTATTGTATTCATTGTATCGTGAATTATTGGTTTGCTTTCCACCAGACTCCTTCCTACATTTATAAAAAAATCATTGAATTCATTAGAAATTTCTTTAACTTCATAAATGTCTTTATTGTCCTTTACAAAGTAGTTTGGGAGTCTTGCATTTGTATTATCTCTGTTAATCACATCATTTATTATTCCCCATGTAGTCTTGATGTTGTCGTTGTTCTTATTCAATAGCTCACCATAGTACTCTTTCTTCTGTTTCCTAATTATTGTTACTAATTTATTTTTATATTTTTTATATCTGTCTTCGGCTTCCTTTGTTTGTAACTTTAAGAATCTCATATACAGACTTTTTTTTTGGCACATGCATTTTTAATTCCATTAGTCATCCATGTTTGGTTGTCCCTTTTACCTGTTATTTTAATTAATTTACAACTACTGTTAAACGATTTCAGCAGTATTTTAATGAAGGATGTATATGCATTGTTCACATCACTGACATAGACTTCCGTCCAGTTCTGCATTTTAAGATCTTTATTTAGGTCCTCCAGGGCTTTAACTGATTTATTTCTTTTATAATTAATACAATTATGTTTTATGATATTTTTATTGTTATTGTGATATTTAGACACTACAAAAATAGGTAAATGATCACTAATATCTGTCATCAATATCCTAGTTTTAACAACGTCCTCCTTTCTATTAGTGAATATATGATCAATTATTGTTGCACTTTGGGTTGTGATCCTGGTAGGTTTGTTTATCAAAGGAACCAACCCTAAACTATATATCATATCAAAAAAATCACTTGATGTTCTAAGAGCCACAGGATGTTCCAAGTTAATGTTAAAGTCCCCACACATAAACAATGTTTTGTTTTTAATATGATCCACAAACTCATTTATTTTATCTGTAAATGACCTGATGCAAGAACCGGGTGCTCTATATACACAACTGATTATTATATTTTTTGATGTGTCATTGATAATTTCCACTGTTACCATTTCCATAACATTATCTTCCATCATAGTCATTTTCTTATCTAATTTACATTTTAAATCATTGTTAATGTACAGGGCAACACCACCACCCCTTTTATTTATTCTATTTACAAAATGAAGTTCATACCCTTCTATTTGTACTTCAGTCATCCTTTCATCATAAAGCCAAGTCTCAGTAATGGCAATGACTTTGAATTTACTTTTAAATTTACCTAAATAGTCCTTTATTGTTGACATCTTGGAAACTAAACTTCTACTGTTTATGTGTATGATTGATAATGAATCATTGTTAGTTAACCCACTATTTAGCTGATCTTCTGCATAATAATTACTATTTATATTTAACTCAAATAAACTTTCGTCTATTTTACTGTCAAGTTCATATATTTTCTCATGGGAATCCATTTATTCTTTATGAATTCATTTGTACTTCCATATCCATAGTTAAACTGTTTCCACTATCCACTAAGTTCTCCTCCTTAAGAGAAGAGTAGAAATCCAGCAGAGATCCTGAATCTCTGCTTTCAAGTGCCAAACCCTCTTCAGCACTTTCCCCAGGCTGAGCCATCTGACAGCTGTGTGGAGTCCTCCAAAAGAGCCACAAACTGTCTGTGATTCATTGCCCGTGCCCTGATGAAGTTTATTATTTTAGTAACAACATCAGTAACATGGTTGATTTTTAGCACTGACTTGCACAACACATGTTGGTGTATAATACAATGCAAAAACACCTATTTTTGATCTGCATCGATTTCTATCACTTTGTCTTGCATGCGTTTCAAAAGTCCGACATTTTTCCCTGTAAGATTTGGACAACCGTCTGTTGTGACACCTGACAGTCTCTCCCATTTCAATCCCAGAGTGTCCGTGCACGCATTTACCTCTGTAAAAAGATCACTCCCTGTCGTTGTCCCATTCATCGACCGCATTGCTGCCAGCTCCTCTGTGAGCTTGAAGTCCGTTATCCCCCGGACCTTGGGCTTCCTGACAGGGTTGCGGAAGGCGCTTTAGAAATAAAGCTTTGATTGATTGTTATCCCCGGACAAATACGAGCAGCTGGGCTGTGTCCCGGACATCACAGCTCTCGTCTAATGAGAAAAAGTCAAAACTTGCCACTTCACGTTGCAGCTGAAGCTCCAGCTCCCCGCAATGTCCTCGATCCTCCTGGTCACGGTTCGCCTGGACAGCGGGATTTGCTCAAATGCGCCTTTTTTTCAGGGCATATTAGTGCGGCAGAGTCCACCATGCACTCTTTGACAAACTCTCCCTCCGAAAACGGCTTGCTGTTTTTAGCTGTTTTGTGGGACATCACAAAGCTGGTCCTGGTTGCTGCATCCCTGGATGTGTGAAGCTTAGTAAAAAAAGCCTTGCTGCTTTTGCAACTTTGCTAGCAAAGCTTCGGATGTCCGTGCGCTCTCAGCATCAGACAAGTTCTTGTATTTTTCAGAGTGTTTCTTGTCGTAATGCCGACTCAAATTGTAGTCCTTAAACACGGCAATCTCCTCCCCGCAAACCAAACACACGGCTTTGCCTCCGACTTCAGTAAAAAAAATACTTAAAAGTCCAATTTTTGTTGAAAATCCTGCATTCGGCATCTTTTTTTTTTTTTTTGCATGAGCGGACATTTCTGGGGCTATGTCAACCGCTGGTACTTGTTGCTATACGTATTGCGTCATTGTGCACGTAAAAAACAACTTCAAAATAAAAGCAATGCAGCCTTAGCCCATGCATGAGGTAAAATGAGAAAATACATTTATTTTGTAATTTCCAATTAACCTTACGCGGGCCGGTCAAAGTCAACCAAAGGGCCGGATGTGGCCCGTGGGCCGTAAAATGCCCAGGTCTGAGCTAGATGAACTCTGGAATCGGTGAGCAAATCTTATGCTCTGTTATTTCAAATAAGTTTGCACTATTTTACCTGAAAAACATTAAAAACAGTTCATTGTACATATTCTGGTTAATAACTGTTGCACAAAAGTCTGATTTTTGAGAAAACCAGATTTATACTTTTGCTAACTGTGAATCAGTTTCTAATTGTATTTGGATGTCAAACAATATGGATAATATAGGTATTAATTTTTGATCAGGTTTATTTGCATGACAGATAATTACATGAGTGGATTAATCTGGTGACTTTGCTGGCGAGCCTTCTCACTTTGCAAAACATCAGCATTTACGTTTAAACTCCAGAAACAGCGAACAACAAACTGAATAGTGAACAAAGAGATTTAATAAAACACTTTAGTGGCAAACATTTCATTTTCAACCTTTTCTTCTCCAAAAACAAAACATTTAATAAAACTGCTGCCTTTCATTTTCAAGTGGTGCTCGCCGCAGAACCACAAAGGCGGAGCTGCACCATAATGTGGAGCTGCACCAGAATCAGCCCCGCCCATTTCATCAGAGTCAGTCCAATTCCTTCCAGTTGTCAGACTTGATAGCATTCTGGAACCAAAGAGGGTGTTATAGCTAATATCATCTACAATGCAAGATTGAGGACAGAGTTGAGAAGTTAATTGAACAGTTTTTGTAAAGGTTCCATATAATTAAAAATCTAACTTTTGGAACTTTTTATCATGTTATATTGTCATTTCCTCATAAGAAACACGCCAAAGCCATTTTTGGCCTCATTCATGCATTTTCCTCCCATCTCAGCTTCAATTTGGTCTCCTCCCCTGAAGTGGGTCTGGTCTTGGTTCTCAAATCTGGATATTCTGTGAATTTTCTGACAAATTATTTCTGAAATGACTTCTACTGAGACACCGCCAATAAACCATACATCCTATCTGCAAAGACACACTGGATAGCATAATTACCAGTAACGCCACTTACTTTTTATCAGATGTGGTGGGGTAGTGGCTATGGATGTAGATTGACATGTAGTTTTGCGCAGGTTCGCCTCCCAGTAGCAGAAATATTAGGTAGTTTACAACCCCTTTTCTTCATTTCTAGCCACACTTGCCAGTACTATGTTTACAACAATTTACTGGTATACCGTTAACAATATAATGACTAATGTGTTTATTTATTTATTTATTCGTTTATTTAGCCAGTGTGAGTCCATTTGTGAGCAGAGTTTCAACTAAAATGCTGTTTAGGAACGACCAAATTCAAAGAACTTTTAGAGACATAAATATTTTGCTGAAAATAAACATTACAACTAAAATAAAAACAAATTAAATGTTTCATCTGGCTAAATAGATAGATGCCGACCCCACGGAGAATCGAACCAGCAACAGCTGAGGGCAAAGCAAAATTTAACTCAGACGATCTTGCCACTGGACTACCACAGCACATTTGATAATCCACTTGCTGTTGTACGACAGTTTTGTTAGAGCAGCTGTGGGCAGAAAATCGCTAAAAGAAACCTTTTCATTTCGAGATATATTCAGGCTTTGTCATGTACAACAAATCTGTCGGATGAAGTGTACTCTGTATTTCTAGCTGTATCTAGTATGGTTATTATTTATTATTTTTTAACCCATTCAGTAGCGGTCAGTGTTGCAGCGAAACTGAAGAAGCCTCTGACTGAAGACACTCTTCCGTTGTTGGACAGTCTTGTGAAGAGAATGCTCAGGGTTGTCCATCATGTTCTTGATTCTCTGGAGAATCCTTCTTTGCATGATCTCCTCCAGCGGTTCCACAGTCGTCCCCAGAACAGAACCAGCCTTTTTTATTAGGCTGTTGAGCCTTTTCAGGTCCCTGCTTCTGATGCTGCTACCCCAACAGACGATGGCTGAAGAGATTACACTCTCAACAACAGACTTGTAGAAGATCTGCAGAATCTTGCTACAGACATTGAAGGACCTAAGCGTCCTCAAGAAGTGCAGTCTGCTGTGTCCCTTCTTGTAAACAGCTTCGCTGTTCTTTCTCTTTTTGTCTCATTGCGGTCGGTCTTATTGTATTTTAATGTTTTTCTCCCTCTGCAGCATAACTTTTACTTTGCTTGGCTGTAAACTAAACAAATTTCCCACTTGTGGGACTAATAAAGGTCATCTTATCTTATCTTATCTTATAGCATTAACATTTGTAAAGCAGTAACAGCCGTAATTCATGTGGGTCAGGTTAGTTTGCGATAAAGTTGAAAAACAAAAACGGAAGTCAGTGGGCTAGGTTGAGTTTGCGTGAATGGGCGGGGCTGACCCTGGTGCAGCTCCGCCTTTGTGGTTCTGCAGCGAGCACCCTCTCTTCATTTTAGTTAAAAGAGCTTCCAGCTCAGTAGCACATTTCATTCAACACCCTCAGAAGTCCCAAAATATATATTTTATTTACGTTCATTAATTCTGTCCTGTGTGGACTCTCGTGTGAAAGTTTAAACTTCTCTTTTGAGCAAATCTTTGTCCACAGAGCTCACAAGAAAAAGGCTTCTGTCCTGTGTGGACTCTAATGTGAGTGTTTAAATATGTCTTTCGACTAAACCTTTGTCCACAGAGATCACAAGCAAAAGGCTTCTGTCCTGTATGGACTCTCATGTGTGAGTCTAAATTTCCCTTTTGGGTAAATCTTTGTCCACAGAGCTCACAAGCAAAAGCCTTCTGTCCTGTGTGGACTCTCATGTGTGAGTCTAAATTTCCCTTTTGGGTAAATCTTTGTCCACAGAGCTCACAAGAAAAAGGCTTCTCCCCTGTGTGAACTCTCATGTGTCTGTATAAACTTGACTTATCACTAAATCTTTGTTCACAGAGCTCACAAGCAAAAGGCTTCTGTCCAGTGTGGACTCTAATGTGAAAGTTTAAACTTGACATTACACTAAATCGTTGTCCACAGAGCACACAAGCAAAAGGCTTCTGTCCTGTATGGACTCTCATGTGTCTGTCTAAATTTCCCTTTTGGGTAAATCTTTGTCCACAGAGCTCACAAGCAAAAGACTTCTGTCCTGTATGGACTCTTATGTGTGTGTCTAAATTTCCCTTTAGGGTAAATCTTTGTCCACAGAGCTCACAAGTAAAAGGCTTCTCTCCTGTGTGAACTCTCATGTGTTTGTTTAAACTTGTCTTTTGGGTAAATCTTTGTCCACATAGCTCACAAGCAAAAGGCTTCTGTCCAGTGTGAATTCTCATGTGAATGTTTAAATAAGATATGCAGCTGAAACTTTTTCCACAGTCGTCACAACTAAATGATTTTAGTTTTGTCTGAACTTTCCTGCTAGAGTCTACATTTTGCTTCACTCTAACACGTTTCTTATCAACACAACAGCTTGAAGACTTCAGTCCTGAAGGACTTGTCACTCTCATGTGTTTCTGGAGAGACCGCTCATGGAGAAACTGTTCACCACACTCTGGGCAGCTGAAAGATTTGACAGCCTTAACATGTGATTTAGAAGACCTGCTCTCCTTCAAGTCTTTGTTATCATCTTTGGTGTTTGGCTCAGAATCTGACAAGAGTTTCAGCTGACAGTCAGAATTGTTGCCATCCTGGTCATCATCTTCATCATTGCTGACTTCAGTCTCTGAAGAGTTAGAATCATATTCATAAAGATTTAGATCTGGATTCCTGGTAGTTTCTGGTCCTCCATAATCCTCTCTACCACTTTCTGCTGTCATCTGGTCAGTGGTGCTGCTGGTTGGAAGATCTCTGTCTTTAGGTTGGTTCTGATCAAACTGTGACAACAGAACTTCTCTTCCTTCTTCCTTAAACTGACGAGAAACTGCAGAGAATGAAATGTTGGTGGCATCAGTTTTAATCTCATCAAGCTGCTCCTCCTCTTCCTGCTTCATGTTGAGGGGCTCCATGTCCTTCTGGTTCAAAGGAGGCCTCAGTTCTTCAGGAGCTCTTCCTTCTTCCTTAAACTGACACAAAACTGCAGAGAATCAATTATCACAGTTTAAAATGAATTTAAATATAACAAAACTTTTAAATGTATTTTACTTTGAAAAACCAGTACTGCCGTTTTTCCCCGTGTGCGAAGGAGCCGGCTTCTGTGCGGTGCGCTGCTCTCACGAGTTAAAGAAAACTACAGGGAGAGAAAAGGTGGAAGAAAGGAACCTTACGTTAGAAGAAGGCATTTTTAGTTCAGACCTGTGAAAACCAGCTTCATGCTAACGCACGCTGCTACATGTGAACAGTAACGTAGTCAATGTGGTCTGTCGTTAATGCGTCATTCCAGATCGGTAACAGCGTACAGCTTCATGTCGGGTCATGTTCCCACCGAGACTCATTTCTGCTCGCATTTTCAGAAGAAGAGGAAGGAAGCCGAGGAAGATGTTGAGGTAACGTTAGATGAAGATGCTCATTGTTCTTTATCGTGACCCAGTTCCCTCTGAGTGATCTGTACCGTGATACGTGTGATATTCCCAACGTTCCTATTGGTGATTGAAGGGAATCTAACATGTGGCTAATATATTAGACAAGTAGGCTGAAGTGGAGGAGGTGTGTGAAGGAGAGACAAGTGGAGAGGCAGAGCAAGGAGCAGCATGATGATGGAGAGAGCAGCAGGGAAGCAGAGAATCTGGCTGGGACCCAAAATGTTCCTCCCATGGCTGTAGCACAACAGTCAAGCATTACAATTCATGTCAAGTTAAATAAATATTTTATTTAATTTTAATTAAACATGAGCTGTTTTACACACTCCTGCATTAATGTTCACCAAAAACACACAGTCTCATGTCTCAGAACGACCGTCTCCATACGTCTCTACCACCCTGCATTTAGGGGCGTGGTCCTGGTCAACACCATCTCCTGAACTCCAAATTGAAGGTCAGAATGGGAAAGAAAGGTGATTTAAGCTAATCTGAGCGTGGCATGGTTGTTGGTGCCAGACGGGCCGGTCCGAGTATTTCACAATCTGCTCAGTTACTGGGATTTTCACCCACAACCATTTCTAGGGTTTACAAAGAATGGTGTGAAAAGGGAAAACCATCCAGTATGCGGCAGTCCTGTGGGCCAAATGCCTTGTTGATGCTAGCGGTCAGAGCAGAATGGGCCGACTGATTCAAGCTGATAGAAGAGCAACTGATAGAGAAAAACTGCTGATCGCTGACATTGTTGCTTAAAATCATAACTGCCTTATAAGTAGAACATCTGTTGCTTCATTAAAATACAAGTGTTATCCTGTGCTAGCCTCCTCTTTAACTTGTCAGTTTCTGCGTCCCCACCTCCTGCTCGCCGTATGGTTAGTTCTCGTTTTCTTAATGAGAGCACAGCTATCAACTTTTCTGCTGCTTTTGATCCACCCTGTTCTTCGGATAACGACCCAGATTCCTTAACTTCTCAGTTTAACGAGCACTGCCTCTCCATTCTGGACAACATCTGTCCTGTCAGAACCAGATCAGGTCCTGCAGTGAACCCTACTTCCTGGTTTAATGACAGCCTTCGCAGCCTGAAGCGCCAATGCAGAAACATTGAGCGTTTGTGGAAGAAAACCCATCTCCACGTCCATCTGCTGCACCTAAAGGATCTTCTGACATCCTTTAACTCTGCAGTCAGAGACGCCAGGGTTTCCTATTTCTCCAACCTGGTGTCCCAGAGCAAAGGGAACCCCAAGGTGCTGTTTAACACCATCAGCAGCATCGTCTCTCCTGCCTCTCCTACAGCCTCCATCCACTCTGTTGCAGACTGTGAGAACTTTCTGTCTTTCTGTGTGGACAAAGTCAATAAGGTTAGATCTAGCATCTCTCCTTCAGCCTCCACCACCTCCCTTACCCATGGTGTCCAGTGTTTCCCCTAGGAATTTTTCCAGCTGTGGCGGGGGGGCCGGTGGGGGGTGGGGGGGTAACACATCTCTAAATAAAGTAAAATTTTCCAGTGCAGAGTGGAGACAACCCATAGAAGCACTGATTTGATCTCATTTCAGAGAAAAATAGAACAGGTTAGATGCACCTAATAAATAAAATTACTAACAAACTCAGGAATCTTTCTTTGCTTCACTGTTCTGGTGCTGAGAATATCACTCATGCGGATCAAAGGAGATACACAGATGAATGCACCTCTTATTTATTTATGACTTCCTATCGCTGGTTCCTTCAAAGGCAGTTCGAAATCTGGGTGTTGTGATTGATGAACACCTGACCTTTAAAGATCATGTTGCCTCTGTTGCCCGTTCATGCCGCTTTGCGCTGTACAAGATACGAAAGATCAGACCATACCTAACACAACATGCCACCCAGCTCCTGGTGCAATCTACTGTCATCTCCCGCCTCCATTACTGCAACGCCCTTCTAACTGGTCTTCCAGGCTGTACTGTAGGGCTGCAACTAACGATTATTTTCATAATCGATTAATCTGTCGATTATTTTTTCGATTAATCGGTTTGTTATTGTTTAGCTATTTAACCTATACAAGTGATGAATACATTTCAGTTAAGAAAAAGAAAAACATAAGAGAATTGTGCAGTTGACTGCAATCTATTTTATTGCACATGACCACAGTCAGCAGTGTAAAATGAGCTAAACAGTGCAAAATACCAGTCCAGAATAATTTTTTGGCATCAAAATAGGTAAATTCCATAAAAAATAATGTAGACTCTGGAATAGAGTTTGTAAGTGGTATGCATTGCTGGGGGTGAGTGTCTTGTTCCCCATGTAGTTGTCCATCGTTGCTTGTTTTTTTCTGCATAAGAAACACAAATAAACTGAATTAAGTACACATATAAAATAAAGCAGCACACACACTACAACACTAAATCAATATTACATTATTTGAATTAATTAACAATATACAGTGATCATTTATTTTGACAAAAATGTGTTGTGAGGCGTTTTACAGCGTTAGATAGTAAAACAGCCTTTTAATAGTTAAAAAAAGGACTTTCTGAATTTCTCCTGTATTTAAAAATTGAAAGCGTACAACTATGCCGCGTTATATTCACCTGGACACAGCTCGTCTGTATATTTTTCTCCGAGAAAGTTGTCATTTTTTGAATGAGGAACATAGTTATGGGTTTGTGCCGTTTTTCTCTTAACGAGAACATTCTTATAAACAGACGTGCTAAATTTGGCAAGCGCATGATTCACAACACGGAGGAGATTCACGATTGCATCTAGTCAATCAGAAGTAGAACACCGTAAACTGACGCGGCAAAAAAAAAAAAACATGTTTAACATCCACTATAACGAACTCAGCTAACACTAAGTCCCAAATGTGATCTGCGTTAGCTTGTTTATTTTCTGTTACTTACCGGACATTGCTCTGCTGCATCAGCCCCCACGTTTTCGTCTCAAATGTTCACTTAGGGACGTCGTGCTTCCGTCGTGCCATGGTTTTTGCATATTTTGTAGGTCACCGGTCTTTTCAAGGCATCTAGTGAAGTGCTCCCATACTCGTGAGGTTTTTGTCCGAGGTTTCTCTTGTTTTGTCGCTTCTATTTTTCTTCCGTATTTCTTGTTGATCCGCCATCTCTCACAGCAAGATGCGCGTCAGTAACGTGATACGTCATGAAAACCGAGGGCACTTATTGGCTAATTTCTTCTTCTACGGCCCCACTGGTAGATCAGTGGCTCATTACTGCCACACACTGGCGGCAAATTTAACAGATTGTAACCGATGTCAGATTGTGGTAAAAAATAGACTTTATGCAGTAAAATATGATTATTAAACAACTAATCGATGACTAAAAAAGTTGTTAACTATTTTAATAATCGATTATAATCGATTAAATCGATTAGTTGTTTCAGCTCTACTGTACTGTGAGACCTCTTCAAATGGTCCAGAACGCAGCGGCGCGTCTGGTCTTCAATCAGCCTAAAGGAGCACACGTCACCCCTTTGTTCATTGAGCTCCACCGGCTATCGCTAGCAGCACGCATCAAATTCAAATTGCTAACACTAGCATACGAAGTCCGAGATGGTACGGCTCCCATCTACCTGAATCCTCTTGCAAAGGCTTACGTCTCGGCCCGGCCGCTCCGGTCATCACAGGATGGTCGGCTAGCAGTGCCTACACCACGCTCAGGACAATCCAGACTCTTCTCATGCATCGTTCCACAAATGTGGAATGACCTTCCAAGCACTACCAGAACAGGAGCTTCCTTTTCTATTTTCAAGAAACTCCTGAAGACCCTGCTCTTCAGAGAGCATCTTCTAAACTAACACCCTCCCTGCACCCGTCCCCCCTCCCTACTGTCCACTCCTTGTTCTCTCCTCTCCATGACTGATGTCAATTTGTTGTTGTTGTTGTTGCTGTTGTTAGCCTCAAGGGCAACATGCCGATTATCACTTGTAAGTCGCTTTGGACAAAAGCGTCTGCTAAATACATAAACATAAACATTTATTATTTGGAGACTACATTTACTGCAGCTGGCAGAGGCAGAGATTTTTTTCTATTGATACACGGATTTACAGAATCATTTTAAATGTTAATAGGGGAAGACTGCAGGAGGGAGCGGTAAAATACAGGGGGTCCCCAGCAAAAACAAGAAACTTTACCAGTCTGATGAAACCCGCTGGTTTTCCATCAGGCAGTCACGGAGCAGCTCCAACGACCCAGTGGCTGTGCTGGGTCAATGTTATCGAGCTCAGTCCGGCCGTGAACGAGCCGAGGCGGCGTCGTGCTCTGCTTAAGAAGAGGTGTCATTTTCCTGCTTCAGAAGAAGCGTCCAACGTGTTTTTACGCTTTCTCCGACACATGTCACGTCGCTAAGTTGTTAGCGCCGCGCGCTAACACGTCAATAGTGCAGCGTAGCCTGCTGGAGGTTTTAAGGGTTCAGATGAAAATACCCGACCTCTCAGGCTGCTCACACATCGATCTTAAGTTGTCGCTGTTGCGCTCACGCCGTAATACAGTACTAGCTGCGGTTAAAGTCAGACATGAAAAAATAAATAAATTTTACATGAATAAGTGATGCTTAGCCTAGTGGGGGGAGGAGAACCTGTCAAGATCGTCAAAACTCGTTTATCTCAATGCTGCTGAAACACGTAAACCACAAAGCATTATATCCACTGCTACCTTTCTAATTTTAAACTCAGTAACTTATGCTGTAACTGCACCTTGCCCTGCCTGCTCCTCCTTGCTGCCCGCCGGCTGTGATCACAAGCGACAACATAGTAGTTCCCGCTGCTTCTTCGGGAAACAGCAGAAAAAATAAAAACTTGGGATCTTGTAGGCGTGGCAGTGGGAATCCAGCCGTGGCGGGTCGCCACGGCTACGGCTATGTAAGGGAAACCCTGGTGTCCCACAAGGTTCTGTGCTGGGGCCTCTGCTCTTCCTCCTCTATCTGCTTCCTCTTCAGCACATCCTGAGCTCCTTCAAAGGGATCTCCTACCATCTTTATGCAGATGACATCCAACTGTACATCTCCTTTAAGCCCCATGAGATGTCTAAGCTGCAGCTGTTACACACCTGCTTAGACTCTATCAAAACCTGGATGGTGGGAGCTTTCTTCAGCTGAATGAAGATAAGACTGAGATCCTCATCTGTGCCCCAGACAAGCTGGTTCCCAAAGTCAGAGACTCTCTTGGTCAGCTTGCTTCTCACACCAAACCTTCTGTCAGGAATCTTGGCGTGACCTTTGACCCAGCTCTCACCCTGGATTCTCATGCCAGTTCTCTTGTTCGCTCTTCCTTCTTCCATCTCAGGAACGTTGCTAAGCTGAGTCCCATTCTGTCCCGCTCTGAACTTGAGACAGTTCTCCACACCTTCATCTCCTCACGCTTAGACTACTGTAACTCTCTTTTCACGTGTCTGAGCAGAACCTCCCTGAACCGTCTACAGGTGGTTCAGAACGCCTGTGCTCGGCTTCTGACCAAGTCCTCCAAACACACCCACATCACCCCGCTTCTCCTCCAGCTTCACTGGCTGCCAGTCAACTTCAGGGTTCATTTCAAGATCCTGGTTCTGGTCTATAGGGCCTTACATGGACAAGCACCATCTTACATTGGTGATCTTCTTAGTCCCTACACCCCCAGCAGGTCCCTGAGGTCCAGTGATCAAAGCCTACTGGTTGTGCAGCACCAGGCTAAAGGTCAAAGGTGACAGATTGTCTACTGCTGTGGCCCCGAGACTCTGAAACTCTCTCCCCCTGAGCCTGACATCAGTGGACTCCTTTAAAAAGCAGCTGAAGACTCACTTGTTCAGGCTGGCTTTTGTATGACCTTCGTGATTTTTATCTTGAGAGGCGCTATAGAAATGATACTTTCTTCTTCTTCTTCTTCTTCCCCGTCCAACAGGGAGGACAACGACCTTCCTCAGACCACGCTGGTCTGCGTTATCAGTTATACTCCCATGGGAAACAGCATGTTGACTGAATGCACCTGGTTTTGTTTGAGGGAGTTGTGGTATTGTTTTTACTCCCTACGTTAAACAGCTTTCCACCTGAATCTCTACGGAGCAGTTTAGGAGTGTGATGTGATGTGTTGTGTGTGCTTGCTAATAAAACCCCTCAGAGAACGGATGTTCCCTGAGAGATCCTGTGAACGATGCTTGGGTGTGTATTCATTTCGTCTCTCTTTTTCTTCCCCGTGTCCTGTCTGGCTGTGAAGCAAACAGAATTGATGTCTGAATGCTGGTGACAAGCCTTACAGATTTACTCTCAGGTGGAGCATCAAAGCGTCTGCTTTTAATGTCACGCCTGATACTTAAAACTTTATTGTTATTGTTTTTGAATGCTTTTTAATTCCGACCAGACACGGAGACAGAGGTGAAAGAGAAAGGAAGAGACAAGAGGCGGGGTGATGGGGGGAAGGGGGTGGGAGGTTCCACAAAAATAAACAATAATGAACTAGAGTCTGCTTCTAGACCTGCAGAAAGAGAAAAGATTTAAAAAAAAAAAGGGACACCCTGAACAATACATCAGGAGCAAGCTATCACTGCGTCAACCTGATGATGAAATATAAAATCAACATTGTTTAACTGAACAATCACACGATAATAAATCACAGTGCATTTAGTGGCAACGACAGCCTTAAGACCTGTGTTGAACGTGCCCAAGCCCATACTTTTGAGAGCACCTGTGTGTGTACACGCGCTTGTTTATGTAAGGTTTCTCTATAGGAGCGTCCAATAGAGAGTGTGAGGGACCACAGATGTGTAGGAGACGGGGGGGGTCGCTGTCCTGAGCCCATAACCCGCTCCGGCTGCTTCTGTCACGTTCAGCCAACCATCGGACACGCCACTCATCACGGATGAAGCTGAACGTTCAGCTCTCCCGTCAGTAAAACAAGCAGTAAGTGTAGCAACTCAGTGTTGTCCACATATATAATATCTGCAACAATGATTAAAGTGGTTTCACTGAACATCCTAATCATCTATGAAGCACACGACAGCTCTGGATGCTAAAATTCTCCTAAATCATTCATCACTGAATAAATCTGATCACACGATAGCTTACAGATAACTTCTGCTGACACAAATGTGAGCTCTCTCCCTCTCGGTTACCATGGAGACGCATTTGCCGCACACGCACCACCGGTTCTGTCCTGCTCTCGCTTCATCCCGCCCTTCTTGCTCTTCATGTTGATGCTCGTGTTGTGACACATGGTCAGTGATGTCATCATTAATGTTTCGCTCTGGTTCAAAGTGAAAAGGCTGAACAGATGACGTGTTGATGTCGCTCAACAGTCCCTACAGGGTCCCAAAGCCGCCGGTGCAACCGAGGTACAACCATATGACGTCACTACCCAGAGTGCAGTGCGACGCTAACAACAATGGCGACCTACGAGTTAAACCATTTTTACTAATTTTATAAAGATTAAGACATCAAGAAGGTTTTTACACCATTTTAATATAACTGATACTAACATTTATCTTTTAAGAAGCACAGAGTTTTGTAACCTGGGTTCCTTTTAAAATGACAACTTTTGTCGCCAATGGCAGTGAATGAGTTAATGATGATGAGGGTGGCTCCTAGAGGCTGAGGTGTAGGGCTAAAGTGTCATCACTCACTTTGGTCTGGTCCAGACGCCGTCTCTTTACTGGTGCTCCTCAGTAGGTGACGTGAAGCTCCAACATCTGAGCGTTCTGTGTTCCTCAGAGGAGAAGAAAAGTAACATTAGCACTGCCTACATTATTTTTACTAGCATCTCAAGGCCTTGGAGAAGCAGATCTTCACTTACCTAAACATCAGACCAGTTTGTCCCAGCTGAGCTCATCAGGGCGTTAGTCTGACAGCCTGTCAGTGAAACACGGCTCCAGCCTTCTGGATGTGGACTCTAAAAAGCAAAGGAGCCTTTTTACTGTTGTTTTCATTATTTTACAGCTGATTTGATCAGATTTCTGACGCTCATACAGACGAGTGTCGGTGAGAGTTAATGCTTTAATGTATTTTCCTGTCTTAAATGTTCTTTTTAAGTAATCATGTGTTAAAGTAAGTCTCAGGGCGTTGTCCTTTCAGCCCAGCTCTGGTATGCTGATAAAGCCGGGCGTACACTGTGCGACTTTTTCACTTTTTTGAGCCGATTTTCCAGTCGTGCGAGAATCCACGACATCGGGGCGAGTTTTGCGCCGAGCGGTCGTGTAGTGTACAGGGGGTTACGAGAGGCGATTAACACCACGTGACCAGCCGCCGATCAGCAGTCGTGAGGTCGCAGGGACTTCTGGTGTGTTTAATAGTTTGCTCGTCCCTCGTGAGGGTATCACACTGTTGAAGCGGCGCTACGAGCAGCTACGATCCAAAAAGTATCAGAACCGCTCACGGCGCATGCGCGCGCAATCCTGCATCAACGCCGGCCGGTCGCTCGCTATTTCCCTAATAACACACGCTGTTCGTTTTTGTTTCTACACGTTTTTTTTACTCAAAGATTGTCAAGAAAGCGTGTTTGTCGTGTTCATGTCAAATTAAACTGATCATAAAACACAGATTCACTTTCTTTATTTCGTTTTCCTCATCCAACCCCCATAAATCCCTGTGTGTCCTCCTGCAGCACTCCCGAAGGACAACAGGCAAGACAAAAAAGTCTGACGTGTTGTGTAAAAACTGCTATTTTTAGCACATTTTAGGGCCGACGTGTTGCTACCAGACGTACAGTGTGAGCAGTCAGGTCGCATGCGAGAATTGGGTCGTGCAGTGTGAGCGCATGACTCGTGAGATCTGCTCTGCGAGGAAGTCGTACAGTTTGAGCTGAAGCTGAACGCTGCGAGTGAAAAAGTCGCACAGTGTACGCCCGGCTTTAGACATGTAATTTGTCTCTGTGGGGGTTGGTGGAAGAATCTGCCCGGTAACAGGAATCCATAGTTTCTGAGTGACTCAGCAGTTTTTGGCTGACCAGCAAGCAACTCCATAAAATGGATCCTTCCCCTTAGGGAAGACCCAGCCTGAGAACAGCTCTGTTATCAAACACACTTTGTGCTGATGTTACTGGAATCAGCGCTGCTTTCAAACGTGAACGTGAGTCCGCTCGGTGTCGTTAATCATTTTTACCGGGCTGACTCCGACACGTGCCGGTGAACCAACCCACCTTCGTGTCGCTAGTGTTAGCCCCAGGCTCCGGTTAGCTTCCAGCTAAAAGGCTACAGCACTCTCCTCCCAGTCCCACCCTGCTAAAGAGGGCCTGGAAAAGTTCCCCCACACATCAAAGTTATTTTTCATTTAAGAGCTTTTATAACCTTGTTAATCAGGATAGTTGATTTGCTGCTGCACATAAACTGTCAGTCAGAAGCTCTGCTAGCCGCTTATCTTAGAGGAGCTAGTTCACGTTGTTAGCTTGTTATCAGAATCATAGTTGCAGTTTCATCATCGGAGCTGCTTTTTAAATTCAAATTCAATTTTTATTTGTCACATACACATTCATACACAGTACAAAATGCAGTGAAATGCCTTACACAACTGCTCGTGACCTAAGAGTTGAAAATAAAAATAAACTGTACACCACGCATTAAAATGAAGGGTCAATTTAACTGGGATAGAGTAAAGTAAATTATATCTGAATTAAAGTTGAATAATAGAATAGCTTTACAACAAAATACACAATACAATACAAATTAGAATAAAAGGTAAATTTAGCTGGGAAGGAATAAGATAAAATATATATAAGTTGTAGTTGAGAATAAAGTAACTGTACAACAAAATACACAGTATGTAAATGTATAAGAATGTATGAAGAAATAAAAATATCTGTACAAAACAGCAGCTGAACAAGTATTAAATAGAAATGAAAAAAATATATAAATAATGATGAATAAGATCTAGGTAAACTTGTTCAATTTGGGGTTAAAAACAAACGTTTTCACATATTTTCCATGTAGTTTTTTGCCAGTTCCTCTTCTGAAAGGTAGACAATTGTTTTTCTCTTTCCCTCAGAAAATCTTAATATTCTCCTAGTTTGGCCCAGCACAGTTCACTTCCCAGTTACAGCAACAGCCTTATATCATAACCACATAAGTGGAGAACATGCTCAGTAGCAATGAGGAAATTTGCTGTTGCATTTAAGTGATGTTAACTATTATTTAACATTTAAACTTATTTTATGATGTTTTTATTTATTCTAAAACCCTGGTAAGGGATGTTTTTCTGTATTTGGAGCATCAGAGAACGTTTTATGGTGGAGGTGATGTTTTAAAGTCACTGAGAAACTGCATGCTAGCAGTTTGTTGTTTTGCTGCTAATACGGTAGCAGGCGCAGCTGCTAATACAGTAGCAGGCACAGCTGCTAATACAGTAGCGGGTACAGCTGCTAATACAGTAGCGGGTGCAGCTGCTAATACAGTAGCAGGTGCAGCTGCTAACACGGTAGCAGGTGCAGCTGCTAACACGGTAGCAGGTGCAGCTGCTAACACGGTAGCAGGTGCAGCTGCTAATACGGTAGCGGGTGCAGCTGCTAATACAGTAGCAGGTACAGCTGCTAATACGGTAGCAGGTGCAGCTGCTAACACGGTAGCAGGTGCAGCTGCTAATACAGTAGCAGGTGCAGCTGCTAACACGGTAGCAGGTGCAGCTGCTAATACAGTAGCAGGTGCAGCTGCTAACACGGTAGCAGGTGCAGCTGCTAATACAGTAGCAGGTACAGCTGCTAATACAGTAGCGGGTGCAGCTGCTAATACGGTAGCTGGTGCAGCTGCTAACACGGTAGCAGGTGCAGCTGCTAATACAGTAGCAGGTGCAGCTGCTAATACAGTAGCAGGTGCAGCTGCTAATACAGTAGCAGGTGCAGCTGCTAATACAGTAGCGGGTGCAGCTGCTAATACAGTAGCGGGTGCAGCTGCTAATACAGTAGCAGGTGCAGCTGCTAATACAGTAGCGGGTGCAGCTGCTAATACGGTAGCGGGTGCAGCTGCTAACACGGTAGCGGGTGCAGCTGCTAACACGGTAGCGGGTGCAGCTGCTAACACGGTAGCGGGTGCAGCTGCTAACACAGTAGCAGGTGCAGCTGCTAACACGGTAGCAGGTGCAGCTGCTAATACAGTAGCAGGTGCAGCTGCTAACACCGTAGCAGGTGCAGCTGCTAATACGGTAGCGGGTGCAGCTGCTAATACAGTAGCAGGTGCAGCTGCTAACACGGTAGCAGGTGCAGCTGCTAATACAGTAGCAGGTGCAGCTGCTAATACAGTAGCAGGTGCAGCTGCTAATACAGTAGCAGGTGCAGCTGCTAATACAGTAGCAGGTGCAGCTGCTAATACAGTATTAGGTGCAGCTGCTAATACAGTAGCGGGCGCAGCTGCTAATACAGTAGCGGGCGCAGCTGCTAATACAGTAGCAGCTGCAGCTGCTAATACTGTATTAGGTGCAGCTGCTAATACAGTATTAGGTGCAGCTGCTAATACAGTATTAGGTGCAGCTGCTAATACAGTAGCGGGCGCAGCTGCTAATACAGTAGCGGGCGCAGCTGCTAATACAGTAGCAGCTGCAGCTGCTAATACAGTAGCAGGTGCAGCTGCTAATACAGTAGCAGGTGCAGCTGCTAATACGGTAGCGGGTGCAGCTGCTAATACGGTAGCGGGTGCAGCTGCTAACACGGTAGCGGGTGCAGCTGCTAATACAGTAGCAGGTGTAGCTGCTAATACAGTAGCGGGTGCAGCTGCTAATACAGTAGCAGGTGCAGCTGCAAATACAGTAGCAGGTGCAGCTGCTAATACAGTATTAGGTGCAGCTGCTAATACAGTAGCAGGTGCAGCTGCTAATACAGTAGCGGGCGCAGCTGCTAATACAGTAGTGGGCGCAGCTGCTAATACAGTAGCAGGTGCAGCTGCTAATACTGTATTAGGTGCAGCTGCTAATACATTAGCAGGCGCAGCTGCTAATACAGTAGCAGGTGCAGCTGCTAATACGGTAGCGGGTGCAGCTGCTAATACGGTAGCGGGTGCAGCTGCTAACACGGTAGCGGGTGCAGCTGCTAATACAGTAGCAGGTGCAGCTGCTAATACAGTAGCGGGTGCAGCTGCTAATACGGTAGCGGGTGCAGCTGCTAATACGGTAGCGGGTGCAGCTGCTAACACGGTAGCGGGTGCAGCTGCTAACACGGTAGCGGGTGCAGCTGCTAATACGGTAGCGGGTGCAGCTGCTAATACGGTAGCGGGTGCAGCTGCTAATACGGTAGCAGGTGCAGCTGCTAACACGGTAGCAGGTGCAGCTGCTAATACAGTAGCGGGTGCAGCTGCTAATACAGTAGCAGATACAGCTGCATATGTTTGCAATAAAAATGTTATGTTGTAATGGAATTCATGCATTAGTTTTTGTTTGCTTTGAACCCAGAGCAGACGTCACACGCCAGACAACATCAACACTGCATACTTTAGTATTTGTTCATTTATCGTGAGTAATATCGATATCGCAATATTAAGCACTGTTATCGAATATCATAGGTTTTCCTAATATCGTGCAGCCCTAGTTTCACAAATCCCAAACAACGTTGTATGCAATCTGCTATTGTAGAATAATCTAGAACAGGTTTAACAGCGTGTCTGCTGTAGTTTTTGAGCTACAGCTGTTCCATCGTTGGCCAGATGCTGAAAACCCCATAATTCAGGCTTTGTTGAAGTTTCACAAATCAGGGAAAGGACCACAAATCCTATACTGTTTAATTTGATCTGCTTTTATAGTAGAATATTCTAGAACAGGTCTGAATAGTGTGGGTGTTGTAGTTTTTGAGGTAGAGCAGATTAAATAAGGTCAGAGTAGAGAAAAATTGTGTGTAACGGCCCTTTAGCCGTTTCCCGAATCGGAGGTTAACGTCAGCCTCGTTTAGTCGCGCTGCTCTTTAGCTGATATGGGATTTATTTACTGGATGCTAACATCACATCACACTCACGGAGTAACACACACAGGCGCTCTGCTGCTACAGTCAGTGGAAGGTTATCATCTGGTGTAAAAAGGCGTTCATCACAATTCCCAGATCACGTTTTATTCCACGAAAATCGTCCGAATCCACATTAATCTGGGTGCTAACTTTACTAGCATGTTATGCTAGCGTTAGCAGGTGGGATGCTAATGCTAGCACGTTGCTAATGCCCGTAAATGAACGTGTACAGTGAAGTTAGCCGACATTTTAGAGTGATATGAAGCTTACCGCTCTGCTGCTGTGTCGAGCTGGGTCCAGCCAGCCGCGGGGCCTTTCTGCTGGGCTAAACTAGTTCGTGTCGCACCGCCACGGCTCAACAAAAGCCACCACACCTATAAAACACACTTTTGTTGCCTTTTCTAAGAGATGCTAATGACTCCAACTTGTTGTTTCCGTTTCGGATCTTTATTCCGGGTTACTGTTGGCCGCAGCCCACGTCTTAACTCCAGCAGAAACACCGTTAACGATCTCCGATCACACTGGCTCGTTTTCTTCTAAACAACCGAACCGGAACTCTGCCGGCCAAGAACATCCCTTCAACATAAAAGTCCAACCACAACAAATCGCAACCCGCAGGGCCGGCTCTAGGTAATTTGGCGCCCAAGGCGAGAGTGCCCATGTGCCTGCACGCCTGCCCCCCCCCCCCCACGTGCCTGCACGCCTCTCACCCAAACCCAAGTCCACCCGACCACCACACATTGGAAAAAGCAACTCCACAGTGATTCCTTAGTTACGAATTTTTTATTTTAAATACTCACACAGCAACTCTTTAAAGTCAACAGCCTGAAGAATAAATGTCAGCTTGAAAGATAAGTAACCTGAGAATATTACAATAACCAACAACTCAAAATGTTGAGCAAACATCATTGGAGTGAGGATGAAAAATCAAAAGCAGCATTAAACTGTGCAATCAAAAGCAAAACTCAAATATCAAAGTGTCATCATAAAGAAAGTTCTACTTTCCATTTTGTTCTACTGCTGTGGCCAGTCAGCAGGATCCATGGGGCCAGCAGCTCCTACATGTTCACACACATCTGTTGAAGCTGATGATGGTGTCTCTTCAGGCTGTTGGAGTGGAGCACTGAGTCTGCTGGTGTTGGGTTCTTCTTCTGTGAGAAAATACACACACACACACACACACACACACACACACACACACACACACACACACACACACATAGTTTGAAATAATTAAAATATCATGAAATGTTAAATTTTTTTTACCTTATTTTGAAAAACCACAGGCTTCTTCCTCTCTAGCTGCGGTGCTTCGCGTGCGCTTCTGATGAGAGACAGTAGCAGGGCCGTATCCAGAGTTTCTAAACTAGCGAGGGACACCATCCGTTATGCCATGCACATTGAGAACAAACTGAAGACTAAAGCTGATTTCAGATTTAATAATTTGTTTAACCCTCTGGAGGCAGGCGTTGCAGATTAGCAACGTAAAAACCTACCTACCTGGTTACTCCACATATGTACTTCATGAGTATTTTTAACTCAGAAGTTCCCCTGAAGGACTTAGTTGTTCGTCTGTTTATCAAGACTTATTTTGAGCCTGAGAGGGTTAACACTAAAGTGATTTGTTTTAGTATGACGTTGCATTTTTGGTTCTTTTTAAAACACAGAAAAGTTTTTCTTACCTTGCTGACAGTTTTGTTCGTGGCTGTAAACTTCCTCAGAGCTGACTCTGATGGTGGCGTCACTTCCTACTCCGTTTATCCGCGGGCAGCAGAGGACGTTGTCGCCCTCTGCTGCCCGCTCTCCCCTCACTGATGACACAGTCCCATGCACGATCCAATGTGTAGACCCCATCGTCTCTGTTCATGGTCCCGCATCCACGTCTCCTTATCTCTATGGCTTCCTTCATCACTCATGACGTTTAGTGAAGGTTTACCATCACTCTTCCTAGTCTAAACATATCTAAAGTCACATATAATCAGTACAATTTATGTATTTCAGTCACGTGTTCAGCAGCAAGCTTCTGGAAATTATAACAACATATATTTATAACAACAGAATATAGAATACAGTTTAAAGTTTTAGTCCTGACCTATAGAGCGCTTAACAACCAGGCTCCAAGCTACCTATCTGAGCTTTTATCCCCACACACCACCTCTCGGAACCTTAGATCCACATCTGAAAACCTCCTGGCTGTTCCTCGAACCAGACTGAAAACCAAAGGGGACAGGGCCTTTCAGACTATTGCACCCAGACTTTGGAACAGTCTGCCTTCAAATCTCTCTCTCTAACACTGTAGAGGTCTTTAAAAATCATCTAAAAACTCACCTTTTCATCCAGGCGTTCCCTCCCTAAATGTTTCAGAATGATGGCTTTGTTCGGGTTCACACCTTCACTTTGTTTATACTCATGATTTTATTTTCTACTTTATCACTGCTATTGTTTTTCTGATGTGTTTATTGGTTGGAGGTATTTGCCCTGATCTTTATCATGTTGTACAACGCTTTGTGATTTATATCTGTGAAAGGCGCTCTATAAATAAACCATTTCTTCCATTTCCAGTCGTTTCTGTCTTTGCTGGTTTCTCTTTTTTCCTCCACAGCACCTAGACCATCTCATGGTGCACCAGTAAATGTGTTCAGACTGTGGTGCGCACAATTAACCAACCTTTGAATCAGTGAGAAATGACTCGATGAACTTAATGAATCAAACCATTTGAATCGTTCAATGAATCGTTTCATTCCTAAACTCAACACATGAAAATAGAACATAGTAAAGTGAAATAAAGATCATAAAGATCAAAGAAACACAAGAGCAGCGAAACAAGAAGCAGAAAGTACACAAAAGAAATCAGCTGGAACAGACCACTGCACAAGGGAAAACCATGTACTGGACTACAACCGAACACGGATCGTAAGCACAGAAACACAAATGCTAAAGATGGACCATCCCCATACCCCCTTTAAACAGCCATCACACAATGTTTTGTAAAAAGGACACGACTGTGGCACATTACCACCATGATCTAACCTTATAAACAACCTAAGCCTCCCTGATGCCGGTGTGCTGTTTAAGCTAATTATCAGCATTTATTTCTAAGCAACATTTACATCTTGATGGCCGCAATTTGTGGTTTCCAGGACAGGAAGTGTTGGCTCATGGGCTGGAAGCGACCCCGATCTAGGGTAAAGGACAACAACGTGGGATGCAGCACTTGTATCGAGGATGTACAATCTACAAGGATCATTCCTTCTCTTTTACTTCTGCCCTTTCTTTAATGTTTTTCTTTACGTCAATAAAGAGTTCTGTCACTGATGGCATGAACTCGACTAACTGGTAGTAAATCTTGTGGTTACAGCATCAAGTTCTTCAGTATGGTGCCACGGTGGAACTAAAACAACACATAAATGCAGTGAGACAGAATACGGTAAGAAGCAACAAAAAATGACACTTATGATACATAAAACATACCTCGTTGGCTGACCCGTGCTTAAAGGCAGAAATAAGTATCTTAAAAGAAAAATCTCTGAACTTCTATGTTTAACAGTCCATGCTTGAACCTCTCATGAGCGTGCATCTCTCTTTTTTGCACCACCGGAACCAACACATTGAAAATGTGTTCCTACATGAGAACCCTTCACAATAAAAGACCAATGTAACAAACAGTGTGCATATTGCAAAATAAAATACACAAACTGAAATTCTGGCAGTAAAGTTCCCACCAAATCACAACCCTACTGTGACTTCACCTCAAAACACATTGCATAATAGGAATATATGTACATTTACTCTGCTTCCTGTTATGTTTTAACTTGCTATGCTTCGCAACTCCCTTTAAGAAGCTAAGAGAAAAAGATAAGAACAGACGAGAAAGAAACCTGGGTATAAAAATGTTTTCCTTATTCAATTAAAACACTCACATTGTTTGTTTGTTACACAGGGTTCACTTGATCTTGGGGCTGGAGGTTCTAACAAATACCACTAGACACACCAGAACCTCGTGGACGGGCAGGACCGGAACCTCGTGGACGGGCAGGACCGGAGGCTCTTGGACAGGCTGAGGTGCGGCCTCTGGAACTGGATACGGTGAAGGCAGGTGGAGCTCAGACTTGGACTGCAGAGCAGGGGCCTCTTGGACAGGTGGCACAGCTCTGGCTTCAGGAGACTGCTGGTGTTGGTGGTGACGTCGACGACGAGTGGATGATCTGCTGGTTAATGGAAGGGGCTCGGGCTGAGGTTGCAGGGGCCTCTTGGACAGGCGGCACAGCTCTGGCCTCGAACAACTGCTTTAGCTCAGACTCGGGCTGCAGAGCAGGGGCCTCTTGGATAGGTGGCACAACTCTGGGGACTGCTGGTGATGGTGGTGACGTCTGCGACGAGTACAGCTCCTAGGAGGTGCGGGGATAACGCCGGCAATGCCAACTGGACCTGGTGGAGGTGTGGTGGCTCGGCCCATCGAAGGTTCCGCGATGGTGCCGGCTGAAACAGATGGAGATGAGGATTGACAGCCCACCGGAGATGGAGAGGTGGTGCTGTCCGAGTACCGGGTGAGGGTAGGGAGGTTTGGTAAATCCGGGTCGTGGAGATACTGACGAAGAAGGTGGTGGTGGAGTGGAGCCGAAGGTTAATAATAGGTCCTTCGCAAAGCGCCAAAAGGAGACATCTGTTATGGGATGATGGTCGAAGTAGCTGGTGGCCCACCGCAGAGCTTTGCCTCCCAGGCAAAGCACCATGAAAGACACCTTGTTGAATTCAGAAGAATTTAGGTCCAGGCAGCCAGCACAGTCCTGAATAAAAGTCCAGCAGGTCTCAGATCACCATCGTATCTGTAACATCTGGAGTCTCTGCTGGGTCCTGGATGGTTGGTCCATTCTGTCACGAGTTGGTGTAGGAGGATGTTTTAGGACCCAAGATGCAGATACCAGAGGAACGAGGCAGAGGTGGAGGATAAAGTAAAAATCCTTTATTAAGGTAGTAATCCAAAGGCAGTGAGCCAAAAATAAAAAATCTAAACGGAGTCATCAAAAACACTAGAGAACTAGAAACACTGGAAGCTAGGAACAGGAACGAGACGAGACTGACAAGAACAATGGGCCGACAACACATAGAGACACAGACAGGGTTATATACACTGGGGAGGATGAGAGGGAGATGAATTGCAGGTGTGTGGGGAGAGAGAGACCAGGTGAACTCAATTACTAATCAGGGAGGAAACTGACATGACCTAAGAATAAAACCTGAAGACAATAAGAGCAGGGAACATAACTTAATAATCGGGGGGGGGGGGTGGGGGGGGGCTCAAACACTGATGGGAAAAACACACTAGAGAGACTAATAATATGAACAGCTGCAGCTAAAGAAAATGACCTAGGAGAAAAACCTAAAGACCAGAAGGGCAGACAAACATAACTAATATTCAAGGGGGGAATCTGAAACTAAAGGAAAACACTACGGAAAGAAAAACTACAGGGGCGTGACTGCAGGGGGCCACGGGAGCACAGGAGGGGAATATCTGAGGAGGGAAACCTAGAAGGCAGAAGATCTGGGGGCAAATGGGGAACACCAGGGGACACATGAGGGCGCTAGGAGACACAAAAGGAGAACCTAGAGAGGGATGGAGAACACAAGGAGACACATGAGGAGAGATGCAGACCATGACAGTAACCAAAGGAAATGCATCTTTAAATCATTTGGTTTTGGTAGCTAACAAAGTCTTAGAAAAAATGGATCTAATGTTCAACAACCCACATTTAATTTTTCTAGTTTTCTGCTCAGTTGAATTTGTTCTAATATTTATGAGATTTCCATGATTTGCTTTATTAAGCCTGATATTTAATCTGTGTGATTTTGGCCGTGGGCAGGACACTGTCTCTATGGGGTAGTGGGTGGGTAACAGTACAGAAGCTGCAGAGGGGTGTGTTAAACTATGACTCTGCTTCCTGGTCTGGACCCTGGGTTGTCATGGAGGACTAATAAAACTGGCCATATTCCTAGAAAGAAGAGCTGCTCCATCCAAAGAGGGATGGATGCCGTCTCTCCGCATCAGACCAGGTTTTCCCCAAAAAGTTTTCCAATTATCAATGTAGCCCACGTTGTTTTCAGGACACCACCTAGACAGCCAGCGGTTGAAGGACAGCATGCGGCTAAACATGTCGTCACTGGTCCGATCAGGCAGGGGGCCAGAGAAAATTACGGAGTCCGACATTGTTTTGGCAAACTTACACACCGAAGCAACATTAATTTTAGTGACCTCCGATTGGCGTAACCGGGTGTCGTTACCGCCAGCGTGAATAACAATCTTACTGTATTTACGCTTATCCTTAGCCAGCAGTTTCAGATAAGATTTGATGTCGCCCGCTCTGGCCCCAGGTAAACATTTAACTATGGTTGCTGGAGCCTCTAATGCCACGTTTCTGACTATGGAGCTGCCAATGATCAGAGTCGGCTTGTCAGTGGGTCAAGGCCGGATTAACCATACGGGCAACTGGGCAATTGTCCAGGGCCCACGAACTCTAAAGGGCCCAGGGGAGCAAGGGCACGAGCAAAGTACTGTATCTGTAATCTCCCGCTTTATATTAAACTAGGGTGACCATACGTCCTGTTTTCCCCAGACATGTCTACTTTTCACTCTCTATTCGGGCGTCCGGGGGGGGGGTTCTTGTATTGATGAAAATGTCCGGTTTTTCATCCAGGAGCAGAGATCGAATTATGGGGGAACTGTATATCCTACACATCCAGGGGAGCCGTTTTCTACCTATATTACATTATTTATGGACTCTTTTGAGCAGAGAGCACAGAGAGCGGCACAGCGCGCTGATCGTTGTTGCGCAGCGATCCAGGCTGCTAGCGTCCAGCGCACGGTCCATTCTCAAAGTGGCACAACCAAAAAACTAGAATTAGCACACGATCGTTCATGTCCGCACATGTTCTCTATTTTCTGTCTTATTTGTGCCTGAAGCGCTCTGCTACTGCGGAGCTCATCACCTGTGCTGTGGTGATTTCACCTCACTGACGCAGCATCGAATGCGCTCGTCCGCTTTTCGGTCAGGAGATTCCCTTTGATCTGCTCAGAAGTAACTGATGAGGTGAAAAAGTAAGAATACAGGCAGCAGATTTTCTGGAGAGTTTAGAGGAGACGCAGGAAGATGAGAGACAGACAGGACAGGAAATAGTTCAATAAAAACAAGAAAACAAAGTGTTGAAAAGTCAAAAGTAGGTAGATTTATCTCCACTACACGTTTTTACCAGTATAAAACAATAAGTTATACACATTTAATATTTATACATCTGATACAGTTCAGATATCACCCTCAAAACTCAGTCACACACCCAGGGCCGTTTCAAGACATTTTGGGGGCCAAGGCAAAATGCCCCCCCCCCCCCCCCCCCCCCCATAACTGGACTCCCCAGAAGCCTCTGTGTAATTCATACCCTCTCCAGGAGTGTTAGTTATACAGTGTTTATAAAAGCCCCTCAGACATTACTGACATGTTCTAATATTATCAGATGAAAAACTAAATTATCAGACATGCTGTCTCATCTGCTGCTTTTCTAAACTTGTAAAAAGTAACAAAACCATTTGAAAGCCACTATTTGTGGATTCTCTGAAAGTTTCCATGGAGTGTGTGACAACTTATGTTTTCATTGACCCTATCGTCTAATCTCACAGCTGAAACAAGCATCCTTAATAATCTGTGCACAGGAAGCGTACCGATGCTGTAGTAAAACAAAAGGTATAATAATTTATTATTAATAAAACCTTGTTGCAGCACTAAAGCAGAAAAATGAGATTTTGCATTAAATATGCTAAATATTTACATATGAATAGTTTTAGAGCCCTTTTATTGGCAGAATCTGATATTAATTTAGTTCTTACAAAAAATGGGTCCCCAACATGGTTTGTGTGGCGTTGCCATAGTGTGACGTCATAGGCACAGATCCCCTGTCCTCTTGTTTGGAAATGGAAATATGATCACCCTACATTAAACAAACTGTCCACCCGGGCTTTTGCACTGCTCAGAGACGCTTCGCTGCCTACGACTGAACGTCAGTTGAGAGTCAGTCTCATGCAGACTGACCAATGAAGAGAGGGCCTCAAGTTAAGACCCTCTCCTCATTGGTCAGTCCACACGAGGTGGGTCAAAGGTTACCCTGAGCGGGTTACGTGATGTCAGGCATTCAAGTATTGAGTATATTTACTGCATATTACAGTAATATATTCTGTATGTGACCACATTATGGTGATCCTTGGGTCGTGATGATGGGGCCCTTGAATATTGTTGCCAGGGTACAACAAAGTCTTAATCTGGCCCTGCTAATATACATGCAGCTCTATGCTAAAAGTGTATTTTCAAAGAGGTAATGATGGATTTCTTTGTAAAAGTTGTTCATCTTTCCAACAGAAAGATTTGCCTGGACCAACGTAACGTGATTACGTAATTCCGTAATGTTCAGCCAATCAACTACTTAGACGTCATCGGCAGTCGACGGACCCCGAGCCAATTTTGCACCCGAGCAGATCCTGTACCGATACCGGCTTTGCTGACAGGCGGCCCTCTGGGGCTCCATCTGATGAACAGGGTGCAGTTTATTAAGTTTATGTTTGTTATATGAAATGCACTCTGTACACACTAAAAATTCCACTCTGAAATGACATGAAATTAAAACATCGATATTTAAATTCTAAATGATCTGGCTGCATGACGAGCTCCCGCTTGGCCACCGCTCTGAAGCATTTGACCGTTAACGGTGCCATAGATCACGTGTGTGGGTGGCACAGAAGGACATCCTGTTGTTGTCGCGTTGAAACTTTTGATATTTTACGATGAAAAGAACACCTAAGCCATCGGGATCAGCATGCCGAAAGCGAAGGAAGGAAAAAAAAAAAAAACGGGCCCAAAGCAGAGGTATGTAGACTTTATAAGTTTTGCAAAGGAACTTTTTGCGTTAGCATTGTAGCTAACTGCCTCTCCTGCCACGCACGGTCCACGGACGGACCCTCGCTAGCTGTTTACACACACAATACAGTATCTGTAACTTTAACCCATTCATTTTACTTTTGAATCGTCGTGTCCAGATGCAGTGAGACAATATCTGCAGCCACACAGGCACCTGTTGACACCACGGGGGCGGGACTGTCTTCTACACCTGTCCAGTCTCACTGTGATGATGAAGAATGTAAGATTTTTTACTGGTTTTTGGAGCTCGATTGCAGCCTTTTATGAACGTTGTTTCAAGTTTTAAGTACGCATACAATATGAATTTAATATTTGTATATCAGAAGAACGTTAGGTGTGGGTGTAGCAAAATTTCAACTTTGTCCGACACATCGGGCGGGCGGCACCGCCGCGGCCGTGGCGGTGACTCCCCCCGCTGCCGCCGGGCCCGGCGGGGAGTGAGAACTGCCTAAACACAGCATGACATCTTATGGCGTCTCTTTCTTGTTTACGCTGCAGCGTCTTCATCCAGGCATCACGCAGCAGCAGCACATTTACTGAGCTACAGTCTCAGCATCTAGAACCAGGTGAGTAAGTTACTTGTTAGGCTATTTGTAATCAGCAGTAGAAACGGGCTTTTTCAAATTAAACGGCTTATCACATATATCGATATGCAAAATTAATTTATTTAAATCCCACACCAGACACTTGTTTTTGGCACAATCAGTGCAGCATTGATTTAGCATTGAGAATATTAAATAATCTGAACACACACATCTGAAATTGTCTCTTTAAGATGTTATTGTCAGTTAGGCTGTAAATTTGTAAAAAAGGATGGACGTTAGTTTTTGTGACATAGTGAGTCATCTTCAAGGTATAAAGGTTTATGTCCTGAAGAAGGTCGTACCGAAACGCGTCGGTGTTTCCTTGTTTAATAAATGAAAACCTCAGAGTGCCTCAGATCACCGGTTCTTCTTCCTCATGTTCTACATTTATCTGATGCTGAAGAGCACCTGAGAGTGAGACATAAGTTTTTTCAAATATTCCCCACTTCCACCTGTTTTTGATAATTTTATTCATGTTTTCATAGAACAGATTAAAAAAAAGATCAATAAAATAAAAAGTCCAGTAACATTAAAAATAATGAAAAGCATCACTGCACATGACCGAGGAATACTGAACATGAAAGTGGCGCTGTTCTTAATTCATGCATCAGAGGGTTAAGTTGCTTTGTGTGTGTGTGTGTGTGTGTGTGTGTGTGTGTTTATTTTCTCACAGAAGAAGAACCCAACACCAGCAGACTCAGTGCTCCACTCCAACAGCCTGAAGAGACACCATCATCAGCTTCAACAGATGTGTGTGAACATGTAGGAGCTGCTGGCCCCATGGATCCTGCTGACTGGCCACAGCAGTAGAACAAAATGGAAAGTAGAACTTTCTTTATGATGACACTTTGATATTTGAGTTTTGCTTTTGATTGCACAGTTTAATGCTGCTTTTGATTTTGCACCCCCCCCCCCCCCCATGACATTTGCTCAACATTTTGAGTTGTTGGTTATTGTAATATTCTCAGGTTACTTATCTTTCAAGCTTACATTTATTCTTCAGGCTGTTGACTTTAAAGAGTTGCTGTGTGAATATTTAAAATAAAAAAATAGTAACTAAGGAATCACTGTGGAGTTGCTTTTTCCAATGTGTGGTGCGTGGGTGGACTTGGGTTTGGGTGGGCACGGGGGGGGGGGGGGGGGGGGGGGGGGGGGGGGGGGGCGCACATGGGCACTCTCGCCTTGGGCACCAAATTACCTAGAGCCGGCCCTGTCCATCCAGACCCAGGTTTGTTTAATAACAAGTTTTAATATCAAGCTGTTTCAAATTGTCATTTTTAAAAGTGTCAGTAATAAATTCTTAACTTTTAAAAACCTGACTCTTCTTTGAAATCAAACACAGAATGGTGTATATATTTTGGTTATTGAATAAGCAAAGATTCCTAATTTCTGATTCAGTAAATAAACTTTTGCTATTAAATTTAATTATCTTAAATTAAACATTAATCTTTGGATTAAAATATAGACCAAGACAGTTGGTGTATGAACGATTGCATTAATATCCTAGATATTTGTGCATAATGTAAGTTCATATGCTAATGTCCGATCTTTTCTCAGGATCTAACCAAACTGAAGCAAACAGTGTTAAATCCTAGTATGTAGTTAACCACGCTACAGAGGATTATTTAGGAGGATTGGGATGAACAAACTGATTTCAGTGGTGAAGGGTTAAAGAGCAAGTCACCCCCAAATAACCTTTTTTTTTGCTGATAAACTAAAGAAACGAGTGTCTAATCGTGCTGCAGACACGTGCCGTCAATAATTTGGCACTTCAGTGCATCTTAGTTAAAATTTAAACATTCTGCCTAAAACTGGCAGTGTTGTGCCGTTGTCAGGTAAAAACTCTGCACTGTATTTTAATTTAAATCTGCCACCGCTATGGCTAAGAGGTATGCTATGATGTAAACAGGTAGATTATGATGTCACAATGCCTGTGTGTGTGTGTGTTTGTTAGCAGCTCCGCCCCCTCGGTCTGCCAGGCAACAGCATTTGTTGCATTTTTCAAACATGAAGTGGGAGTGGAGTTAGAATCTGGTAGGGGCTGACTTGCTCTTTAAATGAGTGAGTGAACCCACCACCAAGGATGAACTCTGCTAACTTTAAACATCAGCTGCTCTAAATAAGCATGAAGGTCAGAGAGGAGCTCTAGGATGGACATGGATAAAGGAACTGTAATGTAGAGGTAAAGTAGGGCAGGGCCGACGTTAGCAGCTGTCATACGCTCCATCTGACATGTCTGACTTTCATTTAGATGGTTATGTGATGGGTTAGAGCACAGTCTCATGTTAGAGTTTTGTCATGAGAACATTGAGATACCTCACATGCTGATGGTGTCTAAAAATACATTTTTTCTTACTCAAAATAAAGAATAATTTTAATCACAATCCTAGAAGAACCTCGTCCAATCAATGTGCACGTCCATTTATCACTGATTGGATAAAAATCCCTCCATCAAACTGTGTGTGTGTGTGTGTGCATGCACACAAGCGTGTTGTGAACTGGCGTTGTGATTTTTCACTACTTAGATGTAGCCATCCTTACACTGACAAAAATGTAACCAAGTATCTTTTACTTTGAGTATATTTTATTTAAGATACTTTTTACTTTTACTTGAGTAAAACTTTAGGCAAGTACTTATACTTTTACTTGAGTAAAACATTATCAAAGTATTGGTACTCGTATTTAAAGGTATAGCAATCAATGTTTTTCTTCCGGGTGGATCACGTCAACCATTGGTCCGCAATAATGTAAATTTCTGGTGAAGCCAACCCTGGGTTAGTTTTCACTTCCTGCGCATGCGTACTCTCTGCACCCCCCGCACTCTCATGGAAATCAGGAAGAGGATAACGCGGTCCAGTCTGCTCTCCACAGACACCCCTGTTGCCGGTTTTCTGCTCGAGAGGTATGCTAACGTTCTGCATGCTGTTAAGAGCCTCTTATTACACATTACGGCCGACAGCTACTTGTAAACAGGCGCTGGGAGAGTGTTGCGCAACGTGGAGAGGGCAGTCCTTTCTTGATATTCAGAAACATCGATTGCTATACCTTTAAGTAGGAAGTTGTAGTACTCTTTCCACCTCAGGTTGCACCTCAGACATTACAAAAACAGAAAGAATGGAAAAAAGAAGCTGGATTAGTTGGTACCATTGCCGGTGGATGAATCTTCCTTGGTTTGGGAGTGAAGTGAAGCAGCTAGACCGATGGAAGTGGCGGGTTTTGTCCAGTTTGCTGAGTGCCACATGAAGCTAACCTGCTTTTGCTACCTTTCCATCCGATGCTTACCCTGTTAGCGTTAAACAGCAAAGTAAAACCTTCTAACTTGTACATGAACTTTTTCTATATGTCACAGTGAAACTTGGATTTGTAATTACAGAAAGTAAAATGTTATGTGTAGATGTGCGAGGGAGAGCCGCTACACCGTGCAGTGGAGCTAGATGAACTCTGGAATCGGTGAGCAAATCTTATGCTGTTATTTCAAATAAGTTTGCACTATTTTACCTGAAAAACATTAAAAACAGTTCATTGTACATATTCTGATTAATAACTGTTGCACAAAAGTCTGATTTTTGAGAAAACCAGATTTATACTTTTGCTAACTGTGAATCAGAGTTTCCAATTGTATTTGGATGCCAAACAATATGGATAATATAGGTATTAATTTTTGATCAGGTTTATTTGCATAACAGATAATTACATGAGTGGATTAATCTGGTGACTTTGATGGCGAGCCTTCTCACTTTGCAAAACATCAGCATTTACGTTTAAACTCCAGAAACAGCGAATAACAAACTGAATAGTGAACAAAGAGATTTAATAAAACACTTTAGTGGCAAACAAACATTTCATTTTCAACCTTTTCTTCTCCAAAAACAAAACATTTAATAAAACTGCTGCCTTTCATTTTAGTTAAAAGAGCTTCCAGATCAGTAGCACATTTTATTCAACACCCTTAGAAGTCCCAAAATGTATATTTTAATAATGTAAATTAATTCTGTCCTGTGTGAACTCTCATGTGTCTTTTTAAACTTGACTTTACACTATATCTTTGTCCATAGAGCTCACAAGTAAAAGGCTTCTGTCCTGTATGGACTCTCATGTGTGTGTCTAAATGTCCCTTTAGGGTAAACCTTTGTCCACAGAGATCACAAGCAAAAGGCTTCTGTCCTGTGTGAACTCTCATGTGTCTGTTTAAATGTGACTTTACTCTAAATCTTTGTCCACTGAGCTCACAAGCAAAAGGCTTCTGTCCTGTATGGACTCTCATGTGTGGGTCTAATTGTCCCTTTTGGGTAAATCTTTGTCCACAGAGCTCACAAGCAAAAGGCTTCTCCCCTGTGTGAACTCTCATGTGACTGTTTAATTGTGACTTTTGATTAAATCTTTGTCCACAGAGCTCAGAAGATAAAGGCTTCTGTCCTGTGTGGACTCACATGTGACTGTTTACTTGTGACTTTTGAATAAATCTTTGTCCACAGAGCTCACAAACAAAAGGCTTCTGTCCAGTGTGGACTCTCATGTGAGTGTCTACACTTGACTTTACACTAAATCTTTGTCCACAGTAGGGCTGCAACAACGAATCGATAAATTCGATGAAAATCGATTACTAAAAGCGTTGGCAACGAATTGCGTCATCGATTCGTTGTGTTGCACAACTCTTCCAAAAGCGCCCCCCCTTCCCGCCCGCCGTTGCGCGCAGACCAGAGCAAGTCAGATCAGCGCGAGGGAGAGCCGCAGATCAGCGCGAGGGAGAGCCGCAGATCAGCGCGAGGGAGAGCCGCAGATCAGCGCGAGGGAGAGCCGCAGATCAGCGCGAGGGAGAGCCGGCAGATCAGCGCGAGGGAGAGCCGCAGATCAGCGCGAGGGAGAGCCGCAGATCAGCGCGAGGGAGAGCCGCAGATCAGCGTGAGGGAGAGCCGGTACAGGCAGATCAGCGCGAGGGAGAGCCGGCAGACTTGAGCTGCTGCGAACCGGTTTCGCATTGTTGCACAGCGATCCAGGCAGCTGCTTCCAGCGCACGGTCCATTCTCAAAGTGGCGCAACCAAAAAACTATAATTAGCACACGATCGTTCATGTCCGCACATGTTCTCTATTTTCTGTCTTATTTGTGCCTGAAGCGCGCTACTGCGGAGCTCATCACCTGTGCTGTGGTGATTTCACCTCACGCAGCATCGAAAACGCGCTCTGCGCTTTTCGGTCAGGAGATCCCTTTGATCTGCTCAAAAGTAACTGATGAGGTGAAAAGGTAAGAATCCAGGCAACAGATTTTCTGGAGAATTAAGAGGAGATGCAGGAAGATGAGAGACAGACAGGACAGGAAAATAGTTCAATAAAAACAAGAAAACAAAACAAAGTGTTGAAAAGTAAAATGTAGGTAGATTTATCTCCACTACACGTTTTTACCTATAAAAAACAATAAGTTATACACATGTCATATTTATACATCTGATACAATTCAGATCACCTTCAAAACTCAGTCACACACCCAGGGCCGTTTCAAGACATTTTGGGGGCCAAGGCAAAATGCCCCCCCCCCCCCCCCCCCAATAACTGGGCTCCCCAGAAGCCTCTGTGTAATTCATGCCCTCTCCAGTAGTGTTAGTTATACGGTGTTTATAAAAGCCCCTCAGACATTACTGACATGCTCTAATATTATCAGATGAAAAACTAAATTATCAGACATGCTGTCTCATCTGCTTATTTTATAAACTTGCAAAAAGTAACAAAACCATTTGAAAGCCACTATTTGTGGATTCTCTGAAAGTTTCCATGGAGTTTGTGACAACTTATTTTTTCATTGATCCTATCGTCTAATCTCACAGTTGAAACAAGCATCCTTAATAATCTGTGCACAGGAAGCTTACCGATGCTGTAGTAAAACAAAAGGTATAATAATTTATTATTAATAAAACCTTGTTGCAGCACTAAAGCAGAAAAATTAGATTTTGCATTAAATATGCAAAATATTTACATATGAATTGTTTTAGAGCCCTTTAATTGGCAGAATCTGATATTAATTTAGTTCTTACAAAAAATGGGTCCCAACATGGTTTGTGTGGCGTTGCCATAGTGTGACGTCATAGGCACAGATCCCCTGTCCTCTTGTTTGGAAATGGAAATATGGTCACCCTACATTAAACAAACTGTCCACCCGGGCTTTTGCACTGCACAGAGACGCTTCGCTGCCTACGACTGAACGTCAGTTGAGAGTCAGTCTCATGCAGACTGACCAATGAAGAGAGGGCCTCAAGTTAAGACCCTCTCCTCATTGGTCAGTCCACACGAGGTGGGTCAAAGGTTACTCTGGGCGGGTTACGTGTTGTCAGGCATTCAAGTATTGAGTATATTTACTGCATATTACAGTAAAATATTCTGTATGTGACCACATTATGGTGATCCTTGGGTCGTGATGATGGAGCCCTTGAATATTGTTGCCCAGGGTACAACAAAGTGTTAATCTGGCCCTGGTTCCGCCGTCACATTCCCGCAGAAACTGGTTGATCACACCGGGGCCAGACTACTAGCATGTGGTTTTACAACCACAATGTCCTCGGAAGCAAAAACGCTTTTAAAAGGGAGGGAGGAGTCCTAACTGTTGCTGCAGGCGTGTTGTGTGAGAGTGCAGTTATATACTGGTTAATATATTTTTGGGTTCAGTTGCTTTCATGTGGCCTAATGTGAGTCTATTTGGGATCATTGGAATGATCAGCAGCATTTCTTGATGTGACTTTATGGCAGTTGCCCAGGGCATCATCGCAAGGAGGATGGCATTCATTTACTTTTGTTTTATTTGGTATTTTTTCAGTCATTTTTGGAAATAGTGATCAATTTTGATAAATTCACAGCCTATGTTTAATTACATTTAAAATAAATGTCAACAGATGAGATCAAACAAAACAGATGAGAATTGCCCTTAAGCTGTTTAACTTGGACCAAGCATTTTAGGTCACAGATAGATGTAGCTTAGGGTCTCTGTCTATACACCTTATAAGACAATTTAGGTGATGGCATGTTGTTTTTCTGCTATTGAACTGTTTTCTAATAATGTTGTGTTAAATAAAGTGAAGGAAGGAGAGAAATAACGTTTCCCTAGCAGTTTTTAAAAATTTCCCCATGTAATCCGATTAATCGATTAATCGTGTCGAGACCCCATCCGATTAATCGATTATCCAAATAATCGTTTGTTGCAGCCCTAGTCCACAGAGCTTACAAGCAAAAGGCTTCTGTCCTGTATGGACTCTCACGTGTTTGTTTAAACTAGACTTTACACTAAACCTTTGTCCACAGAGCTCACAAACAAAAGGCTTCTGTCCAGTGTGGACTCTCATGTGAGTGTTTAAACTTGTCTTACGACTAAATCTTTGTCCACAGAGCTAACAAGCAAAAGGCTTCTGTCCTGTGTGGATTCTCGTGTGACGGACTAAATGTGCCTTTCGACTAAATCTTTGTCCACAGAGCTCACAAGCAAAAGGCTTCTGTCCTGTATGGACTATAATGTGTTTCTTTAAACTTGACTTATCACTAAATCTTTGTCCACAGAGCTCACAAGCAAAAGGCTTCTGTCCTGTGTGAACTCTCATGTGACTGTTTAAATGTGACTTTCGATTAAATCTTTGTCCACAGAGCTCACAAGCAAAAGGCTTCTCCCCTGTGTGAACTCTCATGTGACTGTTTAATTGTGACTTTTGATTAAATCTTTGTCCACAGAGCTCACAAACAAAAGGCTTCTGTCCAGTGTGGACTCTCATGTGAGTGTCTACACTTGACTTTACACTAAATCTTTGTCCACAGAGCTTACAAGCAAAAGGCTTCTGTCCTGTATGGACTCTCACGTGTTTGTTTAAACTAGACTTTACACTAAACCTTTGTCCACAGAGCTCACAAACAAAAGGCTTCTGTCCAGTGTGGACTCTCATGTGAGTGTTTAAACTTGTCTTACGACTAAATCTTTGTCCACAGAGCTCACAAGCAAAAGGCTTCTGTCCTGTGTGGATTCTCGTGTGACGGACTAAATGTGCCTTTCGACTAAATCTTTGTCCACAGAGCTCACAAGCAAAAGGCTTCTGTCCTGTATGGACTATAATGTGTTTCTTTAAACTTGACTTATCACTAAATCTTTGTCCACAGAGCTCACAAGCAAAAGGCTTCTGTCCTGTGTGAACTCTCATGTGTATGTTTAAACTTGACTTATCACTAAATCTTTGTCCACATAGCTCACAAGCAAAAGGCTTCTCTCCTGTGTGAACTCTCATGTGTCTGTTTAAACCTTTCTTTTGGGTAAATCTTTGACCACAGAGCTCACAAGTAAAAGGCTTCTGTCCTGTGTGGATTCTCGTGTGACAGATTAAATGTGCCTTTCGACCAAATCTTTGTCCACAGAGCTCACAGGCAAAAGGCTTATCTCCTGTGTGAATTCTCATGTGACTGTTTAAATATGATATGCAGCTGAAAATTTTTCCACAGTCATCGCAACTAAATGATTTTAGTTTTGTCTGAACTTTCCTGCTAGAGTCTACATTTTGCTTCACTCTAACACGTTTCTTATCAACACAACAGCTTGAAGACTTCAGTCCTGAAGGACTTGTCACTCTCATGTGTTTCTGGAGAGACCGCTCATGGAGAAACTGTTCACCACACTCTGGGCAGCTGAAAGATTTGACAGCCTTAACATGTGATTTAGAAGACCTGCTCTCCTTCCAGTCTTTGTTATCATCTTTGGTGTTTGGCTCAGAATCTGACAAGAGTTTCAGTTGACAGTCAGAATTGTTGCCATCCTGGTCATCATCTTCATCATTGCTGACTTCAGTCTCTGAAGAGTTAGAATCATATTCATAAAGATTTAGATCTGGATTCCTGGTAGTTTCTGCTCCTCCACAGTCCTCTCTACCACTTTCTGCTGTCATCTGGTCAGTGGTGCTGCTGGTTGGAAGATCTCTGTCTTTAGGTTGGTTCTGATCAAACTGTGACAACAGAACTTCTCTTCCTTCTTCCTTAACCTGATGAGAAACTGCAGAGAATGAAATGTTGGTGGCATCAGTTTTAATCTCATCAAGCTGCTCCTCCTCTTCCTGCTTCATGTTGAGGAGCTCCATGTCCTTCTGGTTCAAAGGAGGCCTCAGTTCTTCAGGAGCTCTTCCTTCTTCCTTAAACTGACACAAAACTACAGAGAATGAATTATCACCGTTTAAAATGAATTTAAATATAACAAAACTTTTAAATGTATTTTACTTTGAAAAACCAGTACTGCCGTTTTTCCCCGTGTGCGAAGGAGCCGGCTTCTGTGCGGTGCGCTGCTCTCACGAGTTAAAGAAAACTACAGGGAGAGAAAAGGTGGAAGAAAGGAACCTTACGTTAGAAGAAGGCATTTTTAGTTCAGACCTGTGAAAACCAGCTTCATGCTAACGCACGCTGCTACATGTGAACAGTAACGTAGTCAATGTGGTCTGTCGTTAATGCGTAATTCCAGATCGGTAACAGCGTACAGCTTCATGTCGGGTCATGTTCCCACCGAGACTCATTTCTGCTCGCATTTTCAGAAGAAGAGGAAGGAAGCCGAGGAAGATGTTGAGGTAACGTTAGATGAATATGCTCATTGTTCTTTATCGTGACCCAGTTCCCTCTGAGTGATCTGTACCGTGATACGTGTGATATTCCCAACGTTCCTATTGGTGACTGAAGGGAATCTAACATGTGGCTAATATATTAGACTTGTAGGCTGAAGTGGAGGAGGTGAGTGAAGGAGAGACAAGTGGAGAGGCAGAGCAAGGAGCAGCATGATGATGGAGAGAGCAGCAGGGAAGCAGAGAATCTGGCTGGGACCCAAAATGTTCCTCCCATGGCTGTAGCACAACAGTCAAGCATTACAATTTATGTCAAGTTAAATAAATATTTTATTTAATTTTAATTAGACATGAGCTGTTTTACACACTCCTGCATTAATGTTCACCAAAAACACACAGTCTCATGTCTCAGAACGACCGTCTCCATACGTCTCTACCACCCTGCATTTAGGGGCGTGGTCCTGGTCAACACCATCTCCTGAACTCCAAACTGAAGGTCCGAATGGGAAAGAAAGGTGATTTAAGCTAATCTGAGCGTGGCATGGTTGTTGGTGCCAGACGGGCCGGTCTGAGTATTTCACAATCTGCTCAGTTACTGGGATTTTCACCCACAACCATTTCTAGGGTTTACAAAGAATGGTGTGAAAAGGGAAAAACATCCAGTATGCGGCAGTCCTGTGGGCCAAATGTCTTGTTGATGCTAGCGGTCAGAGCAGAATGGGCCGACTGACTCAAGCTGATAGAAGAGCAAATGATAGAGACTACTTCCTGGTTTAATGACAGCCTTCGCAGCCTGAAGCGCCAATGCAGAAAAATTGAGCGTTTGTGGAAGAAAACCCATCTCCACGTCCATCTGCTGCACCTAAAGGATCTTCTGTCATCCTTTAACTCTGCAGTCAGAGACGCCAGGGTTTCCTATTTCTCCAACCTGGTGTCCCAGAGCAAAGGGAACCCCAAGCTGCTGTTTAACACCATCAGCAGCATCGTCTCTCCTGCCTCTCCTACAGCCTCCATCCACTCTGTTGCAGACTGTGAGAACTTTCTGTCTTTCTGTGTGGACAAAGTCAATAAGGTTAGATCTAGCATCTCTCCTTCAGCCTCCACCACCTCCCTTACCCATGGTGTCCAGTGTTTCCCCTAGGATTTTTCCAGCTGTGGCGGGGGGGGCCGGTGGGGGGGGGGGGGGGGGGGGGGGGTATGACACGTCTCTAAATAAAGTAAAATTTTCCAGTGCAGAGTGGAGACAACCCATAGAAGCACTGATTTGATCTCATTTCAGAGAAAAAAAGAACAGGTCAGATGCACCTAATAAATAAAATTACTAACAAACTCAGGAATGTTTCTTTGCTTCACTGTTCTGGTGCTGAGAATATCACTCATGCGGATCAAAGGAGATACACAGATGAATGCACCTCTTATTTATTATATGGAGACTACATTTACTGCAGCTGGCAGAGATTGTTTCTATTGATACACGGATTTACAGAATCATTTTAAATGTTAATAGGGGAAGACTGCAGGAGGGAGCGGTAAAATACAGGGGGTCCCCAGCAAAAACAAGACACTTTACCAGTCTGATGAAACCCGCTGGTTTTCCATCAGGCAGTCACGGGGCAGCTCCAACGACCCAGTGGCTGTGCTGGGTCAATGTTATCGAGCTCAGTCCGGCCGTGAACGAGCCGAGGCGACGTCGTGCTCTGCTTAAGAAGAGGTGTTATTTTCCCGCTTCAGAAGAAGCGTCCAACGTGTTTTTAAGCTTTCTCCGGGACACGTCACGTTGCTAAGTTGTTAGCGCCGCGCGCTAACACGTCACTAGTGCAGCGTAGCCTGCTGGAGGTTTTAAGGGTTCAGATGAAAACACCCAACCTCTCAGGCTGCTCACACATCGATCTTAAGTTGTCGCTGTTGCGCTCACGCCGTAATACAGTACTAGATGCGGTTAAAGTCAGACATGAAAAAATAAATAAATTTTACATGAATAAGTGATGATTAGCCTGGTGGGGGGAGGAAACCCTGGCCTAATAAGCACTGGAGGAAACCCTGTCAAGATAGTCAACACTCATTTATCTTAATGCTATTGAAACATGTAAACCACAAAGCATTATATCCACTGCTGCCTTTCTAATTTTACACTCAGTAACTTATGCTGTAACTGCACTAGGGCTGCAACAACGAATCGATAAATTCGATGAAAATCGATTACTAAAAGCGTTGGCAACGAATTGCGTCATCGATTCATTGTGTTGCGCAACTCTTCCAAAAGCCCCCTCCCCTCCTGCCCGCCGTTGCGCGCAGACCGGTGGAGAGCCGGCAGGTGTTTGTAGAGGAACATGGCAGAAGCAGCGAGACCCCAAAAAAGTAAAAACTTCTAAAGTTTGGGAGCATTTTCAGTTAAATCAGGCGAAGACATGCAACGTTTGTAGGTCAGACTCAGCATGGCACGGGAGTACTACGGTGATGATTTAGCATCTTAAACGCAGGCATGTCAGAATCATCAGCAATGAAGGAGAGAGCTCGGTGTCTGGGTAAGTTAAAAACTTTTCAAAAGTGATTCACCCAAGCCCCGGATTATTACACAGCCTAGACATGCCCTAAGCTCGTAAAAAAAAAAAGTCTATAAAATCGTAAGCGAGACGCCATTAGATAGGTGGGGGGGGGGGGGGGGGTGACTCGCGCCGCTGCGAACCGGTTCCGCCGTCACATTCCCGCAGAAACTGGTTGATCACACCGGGGCCAGACTACTAGCATGTGGTTTTACAACCACAATGTCCTCAGAAGCAAAAACGCTTTTAAAAGGGAGGGAGGAGTCCTAACTGTTGCTGCAGGCGTGTTGTGTGGGAGTGCCGTTATATACTGGTTAATATATTTTTGGGTTCAGTTGCTTTCATGTGGCCTAATGTGAGTCTATTTGGGATCATTGGAATGATCAGCAGCATTTCTTGTTGTGACTTTATGGCAGTTGCCCAGGGCATCATCACAAGGAGGATGGCATTCATTTACTTTTGCTTTATTTGGTATTTTTTCAGTCATTTTTGGAAATAGTGATTAATTTTGATTAATTCACAGCCTATGTTTAATTACATTTAAAAATTAGTTGTTTGACATCCCCAGTTATAATAAATGTCTACAGATGAGATCAAACAAAACAGATGAGAATTCCCCTTAAAGAGCAAGTCACCCCCAAATAAACATTTTTTTGCTGATAAACTAAATAAACGAGTGTCTAATGGTGCTGCAGACACGTGTCGTCAATAATTTGGCACTTCAGTGCATCTTAGTTCAAATTTAAATATTCTGCCTAAAACTGTCAGTGTTGTGCCGTTGTCAGGTAAAAACTCTGCTCTGTATTTTAATTTAAATCTGCCACCGCTATTGGCTACGAAGTATGCTATGATGTAAACTGGTACATTATGATGTCACAATGCTGTCGTGAGCCTGAGTGTGTGTGTATTTGTTAGCGGCTCCGCCCTCTCGGTCTGCCAGGCAACAGCATGTGTTGCATTTTTCAAACATGAAGTGGGAGTGGAGTTAGACTCTGGTAGGGGTTGACTTGCTCTTTAAGCTGTTTAACTTGGACCAAGCATTTTAGGTCACAGATAGGTGTAGCTTAGGGTCTCTGTCTATACATCTTATAAGACAATTTAGGTGATGGCATGTTGTTTTTCTGCTATTGAACTGTTTTCTAATAATGTTGTGTTTAATAAAGTGAAGGAAGGAGAAAAATAACGTTTCCCTAGCAGTTTTTAAAAATGTCCCCATGTAATCCGATTAATCAATTAATCGGGTCGAGAGCCCATCCGATTCATCGATTATCCAAATAATCGTTTGTTGCAGCCCTAAACTGCACCTTGCTCTGCCTGCTCCTTGCTGCCTGCCGGCTGTGATCAAAAGCGACAACATAGTAGTTCCCGCTGCTTCTTCGGGAAACAGCGCAAAAAAATTAATAAATAAAAATTTAAAAAAAAACTTGGGATCTTGTAGGCGTGGCGGTGGGAATCCAGCCGTGGCGGGCCGCCACGGCTACGCCTATGTAAGGGAAACCCTGGTGTCCCACAAGGTTCTCTGCTGGGGCCTCTGCTCTTCCTCCTCTATCTGCTTCCTCTTCAGCACATCCTGAGCTCCTTCAAAGGGATCTCCTACCATCTTTATGCAGATGACAACTGTACATCTCCTTTAAGCCCCATGAGATGTCTAAGCTGCAGCTGTTACACACCTGCTAAGACTCTATCAAAACCTGGATGGTGGGAGCTTTCTACAGCTGAATGAAGATAAGACTGAGATCCTCATCTGTGCCCCAGACAAGCTGGTTCCCAAAGTCAGACTCTCTTGGTCAGCTTGCTTCTCACACCAAACCTTCCGTCAGGAATCTTGGTGTGACCTTTGACCCAGCTCTCACCCTGGATTCTCATGTCAGTTCTCTTGATTGCTCTTCCTTCTTCCATCTCAGGAACATTGCTAAGCTGAGTCCCATTCTGTCCCGCTCTGAACTTGAGACAGTTCTCCACACCTTCATCTCCTCACGCTTAGACTACTGTAACTCTCTTTTCACGTGTCTGAGCAGAACCTCAGACAGAAACATGAAGTCTCCGGAGGATGAAACAGGTGATGAGCGCTCGCTCCGCAGCAGCAGCGAAACGCATCAGACACAAATAAAAGACAGAAAGCATGAAGGATATGAGCCGACATGAACGATAGCGTGTTAAATTTGTTTTTGAGGTGGCGAGACTTTGATAATGTTACTGCGGCCGTGCTC